AGAACTTTAGTTTAGTTCACCTGATCAACTGCGCCATCAACAGGTAGATAAGAGACTAATTTCATGAGAAGTTGTTCCACACGTCGAAGAAACTCTGAACGTTCTTTACTAGACTAAAAAAATAAATTGCAGAATTAAATCCATGAAAAAATTCACAACCAGACAGAAAAAAACCCCAAATCCCGATTCAAACAATGATAACAAGAACAAATGACCAGGAACTGCCAGCAAATCCTGATATACAGTAATGAATAAAAACATTTCTCAAAATTGCAAACTAAACAACTACAGTAAACTCTACTAACAGTTTCGGAGTTTGTAAATCCCATAGAGTTAAGATAATGTAAAGGAAGTCCACGTCGGAATTCGACATCCTCGTCAATGGCGATCTGTAAAGCTTTGGGTAGCAACTGTAAGAGATATTTGTACAATATACATTACAATATTAGACTGCATTCTCTGAAAAAGAACAAATAGAGCAGTACGCTGCAGGGCTATAGTTAATGTTTTATACTTTGTCTTCTCTGCCTTAATGCAAAAGCTCTGGCTGGAAGTGTTACTAATTTCGCCATCATGAAACAATGAATTATAAAGTGACACTACAGTAATTAAACTCAAATATAATTTTTGGTATAGGTTGTACGATTTGAGTCATTCCAAGAATAGCCTGCGTAGCAGTCGCTTTATTCTATTGAAGGTTTTGATGATTTTTGAATAAATGTTTTTCTCACCATTTTTCTTCGCTCATTTTTTCTAACCCGCCATTTATTAAAAAATCCTCAAAACCTTCAATAAAATAACGCGACTGCTACGCAGGCTATTCCAAGAAGGGATCAACAAACATATCTTTTTTATTTTATTTTCCGCCTCCACCACTTGCTATTTTTCTTTCATCCTTTTTCCTGCCAAGACCAACTGCTTGCCAGATTTTATGTTACCATACAGACTGGTCTCCAATGGTTCTTCAATATTCCCATTCCTGACCCACTCTTACATACTAACCTCTTCCATAAAATCTCCCCAACATGTTCTTTGATATGTTGACAAAGTAATATGAAGAGAATGAGGTCCATCCAATGTATCTGCCTAAAACCATAAAATAACACGAAGATCAACGATTGTGATGAGACAAAGAGATCACTGGGCAGATATTGAACACATGGGTGAGCAAGGTAGGAAAAAATAATTTTCTTCCTGGGAGCACAACATGATCTAGACACAAATTTCCTGCAACCAACTTTTGTGTTTTTGTGCTAAATCTGCATGTGCATAAACATATATAGTGTTCTAGCTGACCATGGTTTTAATTTTTAAATTCAAGAAATAATGTCTGTCAACCATATGTTGTTGTATCCATAGTGGGACATAGGTGTTAAGGTTTCCTTCAAATTTTCAATGGGAAATCTTCATTCAAACGAATTTCCTGCAGCTGTTTAACATGTGATTTCAATGTGAAGAACACAGATATTCATTAAACACATTATGAGGAAGGAATGGAAGAGTAACTGTAGAACTGTGCTAATATGCATGGACACTCAGGTGATCCAAACATGTTTAGTGCAACACTCTCTTTCAATTGTTTTAACAGGTTTTTACTTTAATTTGGTAAACAATTATTGGTCAGTCATCATACCAGTCATTATACCTGATGTATTGTTCCTCGTGGGAAATAAAGTAAATCTCCAGGTTCCAAAACTACATCTAATATTGGATCTCGAATATCATCATCACTCAAATTATCTGGAAATGAACATAATATGAGATTAAAGTAGCTGCTGAGATTAAAGTGATGCTCTTCCAAGTATTTGTGCAAGGCTAAATGAATTACAATTTCATGACACTTTAAAATAACTTAAGTATTATGCTAAAATTAATAAATCAAAAGAACGAGATTACAAACTTACTGCTTGAAAAACGAGGTAACACTTCACTATCTGTGCGAGGACTGTAGAGTCTCCAGTGTTTCTTGCCTTCTAGTTGAAGTACAAATGCCTCAATATCATCATAATGTGGTGCAAAACCTTGGCTGTTGGGTGGTGTAAGATACCTGGAAATAAACATAGTGGTACAATATAAACATGGGTGGATATTTTTACTTCAGGAGAATTATCTGCAGAGAGATGAAACAATAAGTGGGTTTAATTATGGTTCATCCAATAAAGGGGTGTACATTTTTCAAAAGCAGTGTCTGCAAGAGTCTGCTTTGCTGTGAGTGCTGAACATGATGACCAGGAAATTTACAACCTTAATTAGATGAGCATGAATCTTGCCCAGGATTGATTATTAAGTATGTAAGAGAACTAATTACAAAGCTTAACTACCTCAACCATGTAAAGATTAATCCTTTAAAATGTGCACCCTCACTGATGCTCCCTAGTATATTATTTTACTCTGTCTAATGCCAGACTATTTACTTGTCAGGGGAAAGTACTGCCAGTCTCAATGGGTTAATTACATATACATACACATTAGCTCCAACAAAGGAGCCAAAATATTCCTGTAAAGTTGCATTTAATTTCCACACTGAGTCAGAAAATGTTTGAGGATTAAGTAAACGTACAGAGCAGCCATTCTAAAAGGAAATGAAGAAAATGTGCAAATTTTTGTGGCAGAAACTTAAAGCACATTTACAAATATTGCCTATTGATGATCAAAATGGTTAACTCAATAAACTGGGTGCCAATATAAAATGTTACAGCTGTACATGACACAACTTTTTTGTGACACTGTATTCTCATGAGGATTCCGAATTTTGCGAAAGAGAAAGATTTTCATGAGGATTTTGGATTTTGGTTCATATACTTGCTGCTTATGAGAATCCCATTTTGGTGTGTCATAAGCACGTCATTTATGTACTTAAAATCTAGAATTTGCGGGAGCATGTTGAAATATGTGCAAATATAATGTTATTTTTGCATGACTATTCTCATGAGGATTCCGAATTTTGCGAAAGAGAAAGATTTTTATGAGAATTTTGGATTTTGGTTCATATACTTGCGTGCTTATGAGAATCCCATTTTGGTGTCTCATAAGCACGTCATTTACGTACTTAAAATCTAGAATTTGCGGGAGCATGTTGAAATATGTACAAAAATGTTACTTTTGCACGACTATTCTCATGAGGTTTCCGAATTTTGCGAAAGAGAAAGATTTTCATGAGAATTTTGGATTTTGGTTCATATACTTGCGTGGTGATGAGAATCCCATTTTGGTGTCTCATAAGCACGTCATTTATGTACTTAAAATCTAGAATTTGCGGGAGCATGTTGAAATATGTGCAAAAATAATGTTATTTTTGCATGACTATTCTCATGAGGATTCCGATTTTTGCGAAAGAGAAAGATTTTTATGAGAATTTTGGATTTTGGTTCATATACTTGCGTGCTTATGAGAATCCCATTTTGGTGTCTCATAAGCACGTCATTTATGTACTTAAAATCTAGAATTTGCGGGAGCATGTTGAAATATG